TTGTTTTGTAATGGTGCATACCTTGAGGTGATAAAGTTTGTGAAGATGAATTAGTAGCAACTGCTGCATCAGAAGGAGATGTGCCTATGAAATGAAAATAAAATTTATTTTATTGATATGTTCCAGATTGTGCATTACTTGGTATCTTAGTTTTATTAGTATATGTATTAATACCGTATCATCAACATTTTATTACCTTGTAGAACTACATGGTCTTTAATAGTCTCTGGAACTACTCCAACTTCAGGAGTAGGAAAATATTTACCTAAATGCAAAATTGTTAATTAACACAACATTAAGAATGCACAGTGGTTATTATCATTATTATCATACTCACTAATATCATCCAGTATAGTTTGTCCTAGTGATACATTAGTGCTTATTGTACACAACACTTTAGCAAATGTATGTAAACTGTTGGGATCAGTTTGAACAGCTTCTTTGACAGCAGTTAATAGAGTCTCACGTTGATTAGGAATAGAGGGACTAGCTGACACCACTCTACTAACTGCTTCTTGTGTTAACATATGCTCGGCATAAAGTAACCAAGCAATACCAACAGAATCACAAAGAGACTGAGACAGGACAGTACGACGATTTTTAAAAATATCAATAAGAAAATGATGTTCTATGAGAGAAAGTACAATGATTATAGCTACATACAGTTATGATTGACTCACTTAACTTCTCAGCTACAGCAGTTTCATTCATACATTGTAGAGCATCTGACAGTGAGTCCAAGTTGGCTCCTCCTCTACTGTCAACATTATCAACTCTACGTAACCAATGGGAGAGGCACTCTGTTTGACAGTGATACACATCTCCACGGTACTTCATTTCAATGGCATCCAGTGTAGTTTTCAGTAGTCCTAGTCTCAGTCCCAGCTCTTGCCACTTTGTTCCTTGAAAGCCACATTTCTTCAATAAGTCAATAACATCAATCAAATCACCAATATCTATATATTACAAGTAAATTGTAACTCAAAATGGCTAAACAATACTAGTAGCTCTACCTGTACCTAAACAAGTTTGGCTAGATCTAGTGGCCATAGTTCCATTAAGGTATTTGTATGGTCTCGAGAACCCAGAATGAGTGGCCTTGGCCTCCAATCACTAAAAATATGAATTAAAATCTTGTAACAGGGCGAGGTTCACCTAGCCGGGATGAACAATGGGTGGGGCTGTGAATATATCTATACAGTATTTTTTATTATAGATCCTGATAACAAAATTATATTTAGAAAAAAACACAATAATAACTATTGATATAATATTTAAGTTTTGTGAAGATAGTTAATAAGAAAAATCAGAATCAAAATCATTAAAATCATCATAGTCAGAGCCATAACAATAATGATCATCATCATAGTCATCATCATAATAGTCATCGTCACTATCATCATCCCACGGATGCCATGAATCAGAATGATGAGAATGGTCATTCCTGTTACTATTAGTATAACAGAGTGACTCATGGAAGCATACCTACTGCTATACTTACCAGTGATGAGCTGGGCTAGTATTAATATCTTTTACTTTCTCAGGCAGAACAGGTTCAGGAGCTATGTGACCTAACTTCAAATACTAGCAACAATCAACTTGCATCTATATATGTTAGATGTCCTACCTGATCAGAGCAAGTCAATAACTTGTTCTTTAGTATAGCTACTCTATTAATCAAACCATCATTCAGTGAGAGGCGTGTGTCTTTAAGCGATTGAGAAGGAACATGTGAAAATATATTCTCTATTAATACAAACAAAATAATAATATAAAATGATTAGAGGTTACCTAAGGAGCGTCGAAGAGTTATTACATTAGCTTCAAGGGATGAGGTCAAAAAGCTCACATAAGAGCCACTCTCACTGAAATATTCAACAATACACGAATATAAAAGTACCTGTATAAGAATAACACAGTATTAAACACAAAAACAGTATGAATTGCAATCTAAAAAAATTTTGTGGGCAATTTGACCTTTGTAAAAATTAGTTGGCAGCTATAAACCATGCTTGATACAATGGCAAGCAAAATAGCTCATTGACTGTATAAATACCTTGTAAGATTGCTGTAAGAGAAGACAAGCATCATTCACAGTGGAGAGAGTCTTCAAAGAAGTTGACTCACTAATCTTTTTTACTTGCAGTTGAAGATTTTGAATAGTTAACTATAAAAAAAGACAGTTTACATCCCACTATGCTGTACTCACTCATACATGCTTTTGTAATTATACTAAACAACAGATTTAGGTACCTTTGATTTATGGTATCCTACACAACGTTGATTACAGTCAACAAACTTTTTAGAGTCTTCAACTGATTCATTGACCTGTAGTGTGGTTTAATGTTGGATAAAAATATTTTAGTATAATAATTATGTGTAATACTAATACAGTAAGAGCTGGTATGATATCGTATACTTTGGCAGAGCACTTGAAATAGTCAGTGTGAGTTGGTTGCCAGGAATTCATGCACCTCCAGCAAAAGTGATGTCCACAATTACACTTCATACTATAAACAGAAACATCAAAACAATTGTAATATGGAAATCTAGTGTGAAAAACTTGAGGTATATTCAGGGCAAATTTTGGACAATATCATGCAGACTATAGCACATGGCCTTTAAGCCTGGTTTACACTTGCCATAAAACGCAACACAATTGAACGCAAAATTAAAATTTGACCAATTTTGCATCAACTTTAAAGCATTTTTACGCCAAAAGGTCAAATTGCCCATGCACTTTTGACTGTTTTGTCGAATGTAAGCCAGGCTTAGATTTAAGAATGAAAAAGCTTAACGTAAATATATTAATATTACAAAAAGTAAAATTCAAATCAAAAGTAACTAACTGCAGGCATCCCTCGTTCTTCTCAATCTGTGCATTGCAGCCAGGACATCTCTTTGATATGATGTTTGCTAAATGCTTAGACCGAGCATCTTCATCCATTCCATCATAAAATCCTCCTAGTCCAATCCACTTTACTAACTGCTCGCATGATAAAGGCTGGTGTGCCTAAAATACATAAAAATAATTTCAGTCATCTCAAAAAATTATTAAGAAACATATACAGCCAAATTGCTATTGAGAACACTCTAAAATAAAGACACCTCTATAATGCAAGGCAGTTACAATACAATATAAATGTGTATTAATGAACCTCTGAAATAAAACGCTTCTTTAATAAGGACATTTTAATTGGTTCTCAAGGTGTCCAACTGTCTGGAATAGACAGGTTTGACTGTGCCTTGCTGGCTTTATTTAATGTAAGGAATAAGATTTACTTCAGTAAAAGTACATGAGAGACAAGAGCTCCATCCACACTGACCACAGGTAATGTCTTTGTGCCCATCATCACGATATAGAATACAATCACAACCAGTTGGATTATGACACCATGTGAGGAACCCATTGGATTCAACATAAGATCTTACCAATGCTTTACCATACTATAATAGAGAAATGAAACAGAGAATGAGTAAAGGAGCAATATTAGATAGAATCATACTTCAATAAGGACTTCAGATTCCTTAGTCTTAAGAATTTCCAAAAGTGCCGTTCCTGTCACTTTAGCGTTACACCCACTCACAATACAAGTACAGGAGAGGGCATGGTTTAGTGACATCACTTGCTCTGTCAAGTAGGTACTCCAGCATGACTAAAAAACACTTACATGTAACAAAGTGGATAAATAACAAAATTAGCATAACACATTTTTAGAGATGTAGGGAGCTCATACATACATGTACGTGTCAGATATAATTTGTCACAAAATAAACATTAAAAATTTCAGCAGTTTTATCAATACCCACTTTGCAGCAGACATGTTTACACCAGAGCCAGTAAGAGGAACTCTCAGATAATTCAGAGAAGCAAACTGGACAAATATCAGGAATGGAGGGAAGAGGAGGAGGCCCCAACTCTGGAGACACCCCACAACTAATAAAGAGTGATTTCTTATCTTCAAAATATCTCTATGCAATAAAAAACATAAAACTTTCAGTCAAAAAAGATAACAAATTTTGTGTGCTTGTAAGCTACATATACATGTACATGTAGTTAGTACAAGACATGTCTCACCCTCTCTCTACATGTACCTGTAGAAAAACATCTTTATTCCAAGATAGTTGACAAAGCATTGCTTCAATAACATCAGAAGGTATCTTCATGACATCAGATAAACTGTCCACCTCTTTATTGATCTCAGTCTTAATGTCTTCCATTGTTCTAGTCCTTGTCCCCAATGAAAGATTAACCAGTAGAACCTCATCATCATCCCTTTCATTATCTCCCTCCTTCTTCTCCTCATCCTTTCTCAGCTTCATTTTCTTTTTTGAGGAGCTTATTAAAGGACTAGAACTACCTCTCTTATGAGGCAGACCATTAGGACTCCTGATATTAGCCTAGAAACAAAAAGAGAGAGAGAATTATACTTAATAAAAGTTTAAAATTACCAGTTCCTGTGGAGTAACATTAACATGCTTGACCAATACAGTATCAGATATATACTCAAGGACATGAGGTGTGCTAGGGTATTGCTTAATGTATCCTCTTGATATCAGTGACTCTATCCTTGACAGTACATTATCATGGCTGCAGTTGAACCGCTTGTACTTATAAGCAATCCCTACAAACTCTCCTTTTGCAAAACCATTAATAACCTAAAAATGTGTCATTAGACCATACACGTATGTACATGTAATTTGATTAATAACAAAATCATTCGTACATGTACATGTACATGTATCTTGTACTAGCCACAAACTACCGTATTGCAGGAAATTTTGGAGGGGCTAAAATTTGGCAAATTGCTAAATTTTAATTTGGTGAATTTGTGGCCACATGCTATTGAGCATGGGTATAATGGCTCAAACCCGTGGATTTTTATTTTGGCAAATGGCTATCAAAATGCCAAATTTAATCCCCTCCAAAATTTCCCACTATACGATAATATGGTTTGAATGCTGAATATTTAAATTAAATGCTTATCTATCAATGACTTACAGTAGATATGAGATTATCAGTTGTTAGTGTCTTCTCTTTCTTTAATAATCTAATGATAACTGAATCAATGACTGATCTCCTCCTCTCTATTACAGTAATCAAACCAATGCTGTCCTCCATCCACTTAGTTCCATGAACACATACCTAGAAAAGTCAGACATGGAGTCGATTAATTGTACGCAAAAATTTGAATAATAATACTATTGCTATTTAATTTAATTATTTAACTACAAATTAGTCATGAGTTTAAAAAACTGGCCATGTAATCAATATTACATGAGAACATGTATAATGAACAGGAAAAAAGCTTGGCAAATCCTCTTGTAAACCATTTTCAATGAAATGGCAATGGGCTATAGCCCATTGTCACTGGCCCAAACTTTAAGCACTTAAAAAATTCGTAAAAAATTCAATTTGATTGGAATGAGCTCAAAGTCGAAAACAACATATAAGAATATTTATATGTATCAGAAAAAGTTATCAAAATGAAGAATCCTCTCCTTTTATTTTCAATGAAAATTTGGCTGATGGCCCCATACTATAGTACAGGAACTTTGGCCAGATTTTTGAGCAACTAAAAATCCGTAAAAATCAAATTTAGATTGGAATCAGCTCAAAATTGCTACACAACATTAAAACAAGTATATGTATCAGAAAAAAATTATAAAAATGGAGTATTCTCTCCTAGTAATTTTTGACAAAATATAGTACTTAGGACTAAAGCTCATGGTCCTTGGCCAATTTTTGAACACAAGTTGAAAACTCATATAAATTCCAGTTTTGATTGAAACCAGTGATATATGACATAAGGACATGTACAATAATATGTATCAAAAAATACAATCAAAAATTTAAAATCCTCTCTCAGCCATTTTAAAGACAATAGTTACAATAGATCTCTTATTATAACTAGTATCATTATTAATTTACTATTGCCCCCAAATAATAATACATCAGACAACATATACTTACATGTATTTTCCCTTTTAATGACTTCATAAGCTTTTCATTGATAGTGAATACGGTTGTATGTTTAAAAGTACTAATGGAATGAGAGGATGTGAGAATCTTTTGTCCTTTCTGCATCATCAAAGTGAGGCCATGATTAACTTCCTTATAAGGTAGTCGGGTGCCTTCAAGCAAATCCAAGTAAGTGAGTTTCTATGAGTCAATGATATTAAACAAGATTAATGTTTAAAGCATTAAAAATATATTGTACATTATTATAATTTGTTTTGTATCAAATGACATCTACTACAAGTTTAAAGTACAGGCTAAACTTTAATTACGTTATTCTTATTAAAATTTAAAAGTACAGTGTATTGCATGACATATACTTACTTCTGCCTTGTTAAACTGCAATAATATGATCATCTGAGTAGTTGATACATCAATGCTAAGACAATCTTGATAAACAAGAGTAGCAGAACCATATAGGGTCCATGATATCTGACGTAACTTTTCATGTGAATAAAGAGATTTTAATGAACCTAAACATCAAAAATAAGAAATAGAATTAAAAACTGAGTAAAGAGATTTGAAAACAAAAAATGAGCTCACTTGATGTATAAAATTTAGTGTAGTCATTGATGAATGTGTTTAAGGTGTGGTGGGGGAGGGGAAGAGGGAGGGGCTTGTGTTTCAAGGACCATTTGTGTGGTGCTAATAAATTAACAGTAAGTAATTGCTCAGTTCTGTAATAAGAGAGTCTCTCTGATAATTCTAGTATATCTGAAGAGACTGAAGAAACCTATAGTACAAAAAAGTATCACCACAATAATAATAATAAGACATCATTTATTTTAATGTTAAAACATGCAATTATTTGGGCTATTATTAAATATAAAAACAAAATATATTATGATAAATCTTTAAAATTTTTCTCGTAACATCATTCAAGTTATATACTTACCATATTGCCATGTTCACTGGTCAATAATGAGTCAATACTGTCCACAATGTAATCTTGTGTAAATGATTTCATTAATTTCTCTGACTCTTTAAGATCAATCAACATCTGCCTAATACAATGATAACAATATAGTGAACAGGCTCCAATAATACCAAAACTTACTGAGGATACTGACTAGGAAAGCAATTCTCAAGGGCTTCAATGACCTTTAGTTCCATAGCAACTGATAACAAGCGATTTGATAATACACGCTCACTAAAATGTCTCCTAATTATATTACACAATACGAAACATAAAGCACACAGAATGTACTAGCTTTCTAAGATTAAAATTAATAGTAAGATACATGTAGTATAAGCAGTTGAGGTATAGCTAAGGAATAATTATTAACTAACATAAATTCTCTCCCTAATACGGTATAGGGGTATATTTCACTTGGATATAATTTCACTAATTTCACAGTTAAAAAAAATTTTTATCTATGAAAATAATTTTTTATCATACTAATAATGGTCAGTAGAAGAAAAAAATTTTCCTTGTGAATAGGTTGCAAGGTGATTTTCATGAAATTTTTTTCCGCGGCCCTACATGGTAACTTAAACATACCTGTAAAAGTGCTCAAAGATATTACTGATATCAAGATTGTGAATGAATGCCAGAGTATCAGCAAAAGAGAGGAGTATAGTCTCCCTGACAGTATCACTGATAGAACTATGAACCAAGGAGTGCTCTTTAATGAGGAGATGATGGAAGCAGAGGGACAGTATCTCACACAACTATAAAGAAAACAATGAATCTTATTTCAACAAATAAAGTAACATGTATTTTAAAAGTAGAATATAATGACCCAAGACTATCCATTAGACAAGCCTGTAACACTACAAAGACAGTTGATAGGTTATGCATGACTCTAACACTTGTCTTTGGTTAGTAATACAGTAACAATGCTTCAAAAACTATACATGTACACCATGCAGATATATAATGTACCCACTAGATATTAAGATATTAAGCAGCTACATGTAATTTACAACATTATGACAATTCAAGTACAAGTGCTAGCAGATCATAATATCAACCAAAGATGTGCCAACCTTAACACTCTTGACTTCATTTAGAGCTTGAAAGGCAATACAATACCCATCACTGACAGAGAGGAATAATGAGGACTGACTACCAAACAACTCCCTGGTTCCTTGAATGATCTTATCATACAAGTAAAGTAGATCAGTCATCAAAACAAGAGGAGGTGAAGTGAAGCTTATCCTGTTCAGGACACAAGACACTTTTTGACTAACTGCATCCCTCCATGATTTAGCCAATGCATCATTGATTCTTACTAACTCTATAAAAGAAATTAAAATTTGTCTTATTTTCTATTAAAAGCATAACATAATGGCATTTACCAATCAATATCATATGCTATTAATTTATTGTTCTTACCAGAAGAATCACCAGTAGCCTCTTGAGTCTTGCTATTACAGACACTGACCAATAATCTACACATTCTCCTGATCTGTGATAATTTAATGAGCACTTCTGCATTCCCTAAAATGCACCACATAACAAGACAATACATCATAATTTAGACTTACCTGGGACTTTATCAATAAAATGCTCGTGTGTCAGTAATTCCTTATATGGACTGGAGGGAGTCGGGCAATAATTAGAAATGTATTCACTCAATAATTTGATCAATACTTGACCCCAGCAGCCTAGTACAAGAGCAATAATTCAATAATAATAATAATACTATAATAATTAAGTACTCACTGCTGCTAGTGAGACGAGTAGCTAAAGGATTTAGTAAAGCAGTCTGACAGGCAGTGCCCAGAGCTTGTCTTGAGTGTAGAGTGAACAGGTAGGAATCAGCAAAAGATTGCTCATAATTCATGACAGAATTAATCCTAAAGGAAAAGAAAAATTAAAAAGGCGCCGTGATGAAAGTAATAAAGTTGCAGGACGTACACTATGTACAGGAGGAATAAAGATTGTAGTTCAATATACATGTAAATCCATGAATTAATGCAAAGCACAGTATCTCCTGAACAATTACAACCAAATAATACAGAAATATTACAAGCAATGAAAAGTTCAGATTCTATTACAATTTTCATAATTCTAGACCAAGTAATAAACTGGCTAATCCACTTGCAGTGTGCCTACATGTATACTGTTAATGCTGCAGAGTGAAGTGTGTCAGAGAACTAAAAATCTGGAGGAACTACTGGGATTGCAAAACAGTGCATTTCTCATGAATCAGTTTTGAAATTGACTACATCAAATGACAGCAATGGTCAAAAGAGTTACATTATTGAGGTGCCAGTGAATTAGAAATACACAGAAAAGGTTACACTGACATGACAAGAAATTGCTATAAATCCAATCAGCAAAGATCTGAACAAATATTTTGTAAGGAAATTTTTGCCAAAATATATTTCAAGATTTTAGTACCAAAGAAAATGTGTTTGGTTACAAAAGTAAATGTGAAGACTTCTTTTTAACTATAGCGTCGTTTAGTGATATAGAGCCCATCCATTAACAAAATCCAATAGTACTATAAAAAATTATGGCTGTACTTTCTACATGAGTTATACCACCAATTACATGTATAAGCTAAAGAGCTACAACTACTTTACCACAATGAATAGATGTAGCAAAAGGAAAGGAATGCATTACCTTTACAATAGAACTAGTAAGTTATTATTATACAGTTAAATGAGGGCTCATGTGAACAGAAATTGCTGAGTACCATAGGTTGGGATATAATTACGGCTGCTTATTTTCGTGATAATAAAAAACTAATTCAAAGATTCAATGAAATACCATGGAAACTAATAGAATGTTGCTATGACAATAAGACCGTGTGTTTACAGTGTTCTATTCTCAAGCAGCCACAAATACAATGTATATCCTGACCTATAGTAATTGACTCTTAAAATTTTAAAACTTCAAATTAATGCAGGGTTACCTTAACCCATTCAAAAATTGTACTCGAATTTCATATCAGGACCTACTAATGAAGAGGTGAAGATGGATTTTTATACCCAGTTGATTGTAAAAGGTATCATGGGTTGCACTGGTTCTATTGTTCTGTGGTTAACAGTGTAAACTGTTAACCACAGTTTCAACCACAATACAGACAAAAGATAATGAAATTTTTATTGAACTATGATGGTTGCAGATATTTAAAAGGAAAGATTGATTTACACTCATATCTGATGAGGATCAAAGCTAAAATGCGCTGTCTCTTTCTCCTTCTTATATTCATGTTTATAATCAAACAAGAAATATTCTCCATACAATAGTGATCCATGAATTGTCAAGTATCATTCTAATTTCTCCAGTAGGAGCTGGTTTTGTGATACATTCATCAGAAAGCTGCCTCCTTTGAAGCAAGAGGCCCTGATACTGTTTGAAGTGTGAAATTGTAAGTCAGCCCAGTAAACTACCACTCACACCACAGAAACAATTTAATCAGATTCATTAAAACCTTTTCTCAAATTCAATATTCAAAATGATCATGTTGTGCTGGTACATGTACATGCATATTGTATCCAACTACAAGAAAAAGACTCAGAATAGCAAACAAGAAGATTCATCTACATGTGATATTTTGAGTTTTTCTTGCATTGGCATGCTTAGAGTAATGAGAGCTAAGGATCCCAATCTTTAAATTAGTGCTATTACATTGCTAAGCATGAGAATAAATGATTATTTCTTTTTATACATCAATGGATTTAGCTGCATCTCTGCCTTGTATGATGTCACATTTAACCCCACCCACCGACAGGAAGTAATATGGCAGAAAGCAAAAAGGATATTTTAAAAAGCTCATATCTCAGTGAATAATTGCTTTTGAACAATGGTAGTTGGTATACATTATTACTATGGTCAAGCCATCATATTAAGCCAATAAAATAAATACTTCTACAACAAACAATTGAAAAATCAGCAAAATAAAGCCTAGACTAATTAAAGCTTTATACATTGTATGTTATTCAAATACATGACCATAAGTTGCTAGTGCATGATGGGTTTTACAATTACATATTAAAATATCACAATCCTCTACTCCACTCTCTCAGCTCTTCTAACCTTTCGAAGAGTGCCAGTGGAGATGCTGAAAGTTCCTTCGTCCACAAATGCTGCATTATTTCATAAAATAACTGAGTTCGTTCAGTGAAAAGACCTCCAAATAATGCCCAACGAGACATCTGCGTACCCTCTACTGATATATCTTTAATCTTTACATTAACACCACCCTAAGAGAGAGAGAAAAATAGAGAACAATAGAAAGGTAAAAAGAAAGGAATATGAGAGATATTTACTTTGCATGTAGTAGATAGCAAAGCTATTACATGTACATGTAGCTTGGGTACATTGTGAATGAGTAATACTAACCTCATGGCATTTCTTGATTCTAATGGTAATAATAGGATAATGGTTGGCACAATTTGATAGTATCTCAAACATTCCAGAGTGAGTGAATGGAATACTAACCTACATGCAGATAAATAATAAAAAATACCATTAGTGCACTCACTGTATTAAGGTCAGTCATATTGTCTATTCTTTTTCCTCCTTGTACCACAACCACTCGAGGCATGTAATTCAAATCAGAACTACAGACACCAATTGAGAGTTTCCTATAATCAAACAAAAAGTGACACACCACATATTGGCAGGCTCCATGACACTGACATACACATGTACATGTAAAAGTAAGATACATGTTACATCATGTGTATAGGTCAAGTTAAGGAGTGGAATATCAAGCAAATATTGTAAATTATCCATTACATACGATGATATACAATAGTAAAAATGCTATGCTAGTGCTGCTTGAAGAGTATTATTTACATTTAGTGTAAGATTTTTTATTAATACTGCTATTTCTAAAATTGAATTTGATTAAATCAGCTCAAATCAGTAAAAACTATGTTGATTAATGTATTAAAAAATTAATACATCTACATGTCAATGTACATTGTACACGTATGTGGGCTCAAAGTCAATGAAGCATAGAACATTGAACTTATAGTGTTCCATACCTAACAACAACATTCTTTATCATGTGCAATCTAATCCAGTGACTGCCTTCTGAGCCAGAGCTCTCCCAGTGTGTTGAAAGGTCACCATCCAACATCCTCATCTTACGATACTCATTACTGGACACTTCAACTCTATCCCAACACTTATCACGACCTGATACAAATACACCATTATCTAAAGAAGGGAGAGAGAGAGAGAGAGAGGGAGGTAGGAGAGGGAGAGAGAGGAGAGGGGAGAGAGAGGAGAGGGAGAGAGAATACAAATTAATAAATTAATAAAGTGAGACGTACATGTACATGTACTTCAAAGGAGATGACAAAGATTAAGACAGAATGTACATCACAAATTTACCGTTGGACATAAACCTGATAAATGATGACAGGTAAGGCAGGCAGGGGTAGGACCTTGACCTTCTTTCGTTTTCTATTTCCGTCATCAAATGCTCCACTAATCCTTTAAGAAGACTCTTCAATATCACTGACTGCTTTGAGCTTCTTCTCTTTTCAAGGAGCTTTTCGTGTTGTTTCAGAAGCTAAAAAAATATTAGCCATTTACAATAATTACAGATGAGCTTCCACAGCAAGAGTCTAACCTCCCCCTCAATCACTTCACATTGAATCTCCATTTTAATCAAACCATTATTAAGTAAATAATTTAAATATACATACACATGTACATGTAGTTACAAGTACAGTTTAAACAAAATATGTACATGTACTGTAATTCCTTAAATAAAAGCCCAGGCGTCTATTTCCTAAAATGATATTTGGACCTCAAAAAAATATAAAACATTGGCCCAGAGTGGGATTTGAACCCATGACCTCATGCACTTGACTGCAGGAACTTCAGCAAGGCTACTGAGTCACTTCAAGGCTAGATTTGCGTATTTATAGTTACCGTATTTCCTTAAATAAAAGCCTGGGCGTCTATTTCCTAAAATGGTATTTGGATCTCGAAAAAATATATAAAAAATAAAAAAACTTCAGCCCAGAGCGGGATTCAAACCCATACCCTCATGCTTTTGACTTCTGGAACTTCAGGCATTATCCACTACACTACTGAGTCACTCCTTGGCTAGTGTTGCATATTTATAGTTTAATTCTATTGCTACCCCGGCGTTTATTCGAATGCGGCTTCTATTTAAGGATTTATGGTACATTCTTTTGCTACCTCTGCGTTTATTTGCATCCAGCTTCTACCGTATAGCGTCAAATTTTCGTGATTTCATACATTTTTGCTTTCAAGTAAATTTTCGTTAAAAAATTTTCGTGATTTAAATAAAATTTTGTGATGATTAAAACCACTCTTATCCATGTGGCCGCGCGCTAGTAGCTAGCCTTCCAGCTGGACTTGGAGAAGAAGCAACATGAGTGGTAGCATTATTCGATATTAATTCCCTTCGTGTATCCGTGGCTATCACGTATACCAAGAAAGGTGGGCTCCCTTTATAAGAGAGACTCTTAGCTGTGCAGCCTGTGCCTGAGAAACAAATAAAAGGCGTGATGGGACACGCCCACATTTATATCAAAATTAAATTTCGTGAAAAATATTTTCGTGATTGTCCATTCAGTCACGAAAATCACGAAAATTTTCAACCACGAAAATTTGACGCTATACGGTATTTAAGGATATATGGTACATGCAGACCCCACAACAACAGCTAACGTTATATACAGTACTATAGTACATGTACAACTGACTGTACTTCTAAGTCCTTTGAAGAGTAAATATGTGACTTCATTAAAAGATTATTCATTTTTCTTGTCACAACAAACTCGATTAATTCTGAGTGTTTCTTCAAGCCGTTAATGCAACTCCAAAAGGTTGAAGTAATCTACATGTATATGTATTTAATATATCACAACAAGACCAAGCAGTGCTTCCAACATGTACCTTTTCCTTAAAACGGGAGCTCAATGCAGTAGTGATGATACACTGTGCCCCCTGAAGACAAGCTAATGAAGCAGACTCAAACCCATCATTAATAACTATTAACAACATTCTATGGAGAATTGGAGATACAATATCAATGATCAATATTCACCATCATAATTATACATCATACATGTAGATTGTTGCTTGAAGATCATAGATGCTTGAATACATGAAATTAGGCAAAAGGTTGAAATTGATGGCGTACAATTATTAATTAGTTACACCCATTTACAGTCTTCACCTACATGTACAACAAGTATAGTCTATTCCTTACTTTAAACCACTTTCCATAAAATGAAGTGAAGAATTAGTTTTCATGGCAATGGACAAATGAGTAATTCCTCTATGACGTAAAAACAATTCAACAACAGAGCATCCATCAGCAGCAACATCAGAATCCTTTGCTTTCTTCCTCTCTTCCTCTACCTCCAACAATTGGAGGAGCCTTGGTAAAGGGTTCCTCGAGGTGTGCCCAGAATATGCCGACAATAACTTGACTAAATGAATGATCTCCTTATCAACAGTTGTATCAGGATTGTTCACGGGATCATCCGGTATCACTGATACAATCAACGATATCAACTTGTCCTTTAGTGGGAAATCAGGGAAACTCACTTTAAGTGAGCGGATGAGCTCATGAAGCGACCAATCAGTACACAACTGGTGGGCATTATCAGAATACAGGAGTGTTAATATGATGGAGAGACCACAGCGAATGGCATCAAGATATAACCTACATAAAATTATTAGCAATTTAGTACATATGAAATAAAATAAATTATTAATGCATAATAAATTAAGAACTATGATCACACAATTAATGTATGATGATAAAGTTTAGCTATACAAAAAAAGAATCGCTGGAAACTTATATACCGTATATCTGGTAATTTTCATAGAATAAAATTTTCAGACAGAAAAATTCATGTATTTTTATTTTCATACAATGGTTCCTGTCCAAAAATTAACAACACAAGAAATTTTAAAGATTTTGTAAAGGATCCCACAGAGCATCTCTACTTGAGAAGCTACCATGCTTATTAGACTGTCTGCCAACTGCTGTAGGAGACTAGGAGAGATTCTTTAATTGGAAGAAACAAAGCAGCGCCATTTTGTGATGATAGTACCACGTGTCTTGACTATGCACATGGTATACACATGAATAAATTAATTTTCATGAATTTTAATTTGGCACAAAGGCATGCATCCGAAAATTAAATACAGACGAAAATTTCCAGATATACGGTATGATTAATTGTGCATAACACATAGTTAGAACATTACATTTACATGTACAATGTACATGTATAATAATTATAGTTACCTCTTGTCATCTGAAGAAACATTCAAATTGTAGTAATTAATGATGCAGTCCATTGCTTCCCTTAGCCTCAATAATGAATCAGATGATGATCCTTTCAGACTGATGAGTGCTGTGATTATTGATGATCTAATAACTTCAGTCATATCGAGTGGGCGTGTCTCATAAGGCAGTATTGGTATGCCCTCATGAAGAGAGTGTCCTCCAAGTATAGCATAAAGACACTGTAGGCCAGTGGATTGAAGGAGAGGAGATTTACTATTTATAGCCATTAGCTTGAGGACAAGTGACACAGTTCCTGAGAGGGCACAGTCCATGCGATTGCTTGATGACTCAATCTTCTTCACTATTCCATTAAGACTGCGCAATGAATATACAGCAAACTACATAACAGAGACAGAATAGTACAGGGAATTTGGTCCGATTTTAAGTACATGTAACTTTAAAAATTCATAACAAATCCAGTTTTCATCAGAATCAGCTCAAAATTTTTATGTGACATAGGTACAGACTGTACAGTGCATGTATGTCCATAAGGAATGTAATAAAAATGGAGAGTTCTCTCCTAGCAAAATTTGACCAATGACCCTGTTAGCCCAATTTTAAGCCAATTAAAAACTTTGTAGAAAAATTCAATTTGATGGAAATCAGCTCAAAGTTAACATAAGTACATGTACTGTATATGCATTAGAAAATGTAATAAAAATGGAGAATTCTCTCATAGCCATTTTTGATTAGAGTAAACAAACTAAAAGAAGAGGCAACGCTTCATACACAGTACAGTACATACAATACATACAGTATGTAAGGAGAGGGAGGTACCACACCATTAAAAAAGGATTCACTTACTCTGCAACTTTTACGTCCTTTCTTAAGCAACTTCTTCTCTATCTTGTCCTTCAGTTTTATAGCTTTACTAAGACTAACATGATGAAAAAACATGTAATCGTCATCAACCTCAGAATTCTCCATAATTGATTCCAACCATGACTCATCCTTTTCTGATGCCTCCTCCTCATAGAATGGCTCAGGATAAGGAGGAGATAACTGGTAACTGATACTGGGAGTAGGAGTGGATGGACGAGGTGGTTGGGATGAAGCATTCTTCAGAAGAGAGAGGAATTTGTCTTCAGTTCTAATTGAGAGCATTAGAGTATCAAGCTGAGGGCAGGAGGTGTCACAGTACTGTACAATAGCTAGTATTTGTTCATATGTAGGAAGATAAGTGATGAGATCATTAAATTCCTAAAAATAAATTTCATTAAATTTTACAATATTGGCATGTTTAAGAGTTCAATTCATACCATACAGATATGTAGAATAATACTATGAGATGTGATGTAATATACACAATCAATGCATGTATAGTTACAATACAACTGCAATAGTATGTAGTAGTAGTACAGTACATGACATGTACCTTTAATACAGGGTCCTTCGTTATTTTGATTATTTCGTGCACATGATTAACTGGTAATTTCTTTACCAAACAAAGAACTTCCCACCAGTGAGCTCTGAATACTTTATCATTTCTTTCAGTTCCTCCTCCTCTATATTTCTCATTACTGGGTAGTATCAGAGCATAGGAATGGTGGGGCTTAAGACCTGGGAGTAGTATAAAGTACAGTGATGAGAAAGACCTCATACATATAATTATGCATAGGGAAAGTGCATTGATTTTAGACTCCAACTCTGATTGTATAGTGACACAGATAGGCATTAACATTTATAAAGGATTTTCCCAAATAAAAAAATTGCCACTATACAGTATAATTCTATTTCCTTAATGGATACACATATCCTCTATACATCTTTCCCTCCTCATTACTCAAGAACGTACACTATTTGGGATATGTCCATTGACAAAACACCAAAATAAACACCAATAATCATTGTTAAAACACATTGCATTCCTACCATATTCCTTGCTTAAAAACACATTGCACTTCTACCAATTTTTTGTAACTAAATTTTGTATCATACATCATTAGTACATGTACATACATACACACAAAAATAAAGCAATTCAAGAATTTAAACATTATGAACTACATGCAACAGATGACTCACAATCATCTCCATTTGTCATTAATGTAGAGTCTCCACCAACAAGCTCAATCTCATGAAACTGCATTGTCATTGATCCAATATTTTTCCAGCGCACTTCAATTAAAGGAATTCCTTCTATATGGTTCACATATTCACCAATATCTCCCACAAATACCAGCCCTCTATTCACTCTTGATCTAACTGTCATTCCTGGTTTAATACGACTTGACACGTAAGAAAAATAAGAGGAATTACTATCAAAATCTGAGCGAGTTTTAAAAGAGGAGGAGGTGGAGGGAAGGGATTTATGAGGCACAATGCCACCTCTTTTCCCACTCAAAGATCCACTGCTGAATATTGAACTCCCTCTGTACAGGGTTTGATTAGTGTTCCTCTCAACCCACCCAAACATGACAAATAACTGAGAAAGGAGTTCAAACAACAGTGAGAAGTGATTGAAGTCCTCTAGTGGATTAGAAGTAAAAGATGATGGAGATGGATCAGATGTAACTCTTAGATAATTCTTCAACAAAGAGTGTAAGTACTTCACTGGTACCTAAGACAAATAAAAAGCAAATGATAATCACTAATTAATTAGCCAATTAACACAAAGCCTGGTACAAACATGTACATGTACATAATAGTATTGCGTGAAAGCAGCAATTATTGTACAGTTAAAACTTAAAACTGTGCAGCACTTCCTATATGCTAGTTGCTTTAATACATAACAATAACAATAGTAACAGCAAATACAATAATCAATCAATCATACTTGTGGTATGAAATCATCATCATCATCATCATCATCAGTCTCCTCTTCATCTTCTTCAACTTGTGACGTTTCAGCAAACAGTTCCATTAGCATATCCTGACTAGCAGTGGAGCCTTCCCCCTCATCAGAAGTAACGTCTTCTTCCTCACTCTGTGTCAGCCTCAATAAAACATAAGACCTACTGGCTGGATCATAACAAGCAAATGAACGAAGCATATCACTAGCACTGGATCTGACAGCTAGTAGTCTTGAAGACAATAGGTCAAGCAATAAATCAATGATACCAGATTGTTTGAAGGAATGAGAGAGAGAGGATATCTTAGCATAAGTCGATAATATGTTAACAGTGTTAGTAAGGAGGGACTCAGGTACAGAGGAACTACTATTAACATTACTAGTGCTACCATTACTAGCTTTTAGTTTAGAATTAAGCCTCTTGGCACGAGTTATTAAATTTGTAACATCTGACGAAAGAAAATCCTCTTCCTCGGTACTCTCTGAGGCCACGCCTACAGACACACCCATTACAGTACTGGTCGTAGAGGAGGGTTTACTGTCGAGACTACACTGAGAATTTAAGTGAGGGCAACAGGAAAGGAGTTCTTCTCTAGTCATCCATATAGTAATATCCCGACCAGAGGGACGAGAAGGTACGGTACCAACGTGCGTCTTGGCGTCGTCCTCCTTATTCTCTTGTTGTCTGGCCCATCTCACGAGATACTTCACGTCTTCCCCGCCACCTTTCTTTAATAAAACCTCTTCTCCTTGGTAAGGAGCGGAAGAGGAGCTTAAACGACTCAGCAACATCGTTTCTTCTGGTTTCCTCTTGAGCACGTTCCGGTTCCACGTGGGGTAAACGTGGGTGGGTCAGAAGAGGCGGGGTCAGTAGGTAAGAAGGTGGGGCTGGATTTGGATGCATGCAACCATAGATATTAGAGTAAATTTGTACTTGATGCTAAATTAGTAAGTTTGTAAATTTGTAAAGTATTATTTGTAATTAATTTTTTAATCAGATTTAGTAATTATTTCTTTGCAACCACATTGATGAGACTAATTGATGATTGGCTAGTGGCATGATGATCATGAAAATGGCTCTCGCTGCCATGCACATGTATGTAAGTGTACCATAAGTTCAATATATTTACCAATGACAAAGTTATAATAAGACATCCTTTGAAAAGCTAGCAGTTGAATAGGTGAAAATGTATTTAATGATAGTACTGATTTAAAACAATTCAACAACTGATTCACGACTAGCACAGCGTCTAACATCAGTAGAACTTGGTACCATAGCTCTTCTTTGTTGATCGACAATTAGATGTGATTTAGTTACATCTAAAAGAGGTTCATCATCTTCATCTTGTTTCTTGAATAACTTCTTAATTAGAACATCAAAACATTTCATATGTGATAACTGCAGGTAAAGATGATAAACAACAATCAAAATAAAACTAAAAATAAAAACAGATAAGCAAGTATTGTACCAGATCAATACTTTACTCTCATCAGTAAAGGCTATAGATAAAGAAGCCATGATGCACAAGTTTAATAGAAACCAAAATTCAATGATATTATTCAATTTCTTTCGGTACACACCACCAAAAATAAAACTAAGAGAGAGGATAAAAGTTGCTACTGCCAATAACAAGACATGTGATTCATTCTTCAAAAAGGTGACAGTTAAAAGTACTGGTATCCTAGACACTAGCAGTAGACCAGGCCAGAACCGATACTCATCTTTCATTGGACCACTATAAGCATCAATAATAGGCTTGAAACGACTCCAGCTCTTAAACAGTTTAAAATGTGACAAATACTTCTCAAGTACTGGATGACATAAAAGGAACAATGTGTATGGTACGACAAAGAAAACAGACACCAATAGGGCAAATCCAAATAGTCCAGCATGCTTCCCTTTAGCATATTCCACATTAGGATCCTCATACCATAAACTAACTGATCTTACTGACTCATTTGTACAGTGAAGAGTTACCTCACGCTTGTGTAGTACAATAACAATAGTACGTACTAGTTTAGTATATGAGAGAAAAGTAAGTGTAGATAGAACAGGAACAGCATGAGACCCCATGAGTCTTGATATCTTACCATATCTCCTACACAATTGTATAATGATAATGATAATGATCCACAGGTA